AGTAGCAGGAGAGAAGAGTCCAACCAAGCAAATCTGATGTGTGTGTGATCCTATTCACCTTATACAGTTAGCTAACCGAACAACTATTAAACAAGTATGTGCCCTTGGGGGCATTTTTCTAAAACCACGGAAGAGCAATTACTGTAAATACATGTACAATAAGACTTGTCATACATTGGTAAATTAATACAGATTATATGGAAAACTTCCTTAAATATTTCCCATCCTATGTCTCTATCTTTATTAGCCCAGATTTCAGTGAGAATGCATGGAGGTTTTCTGGTGGTCTGATAGGAGGATATTAATCCACTGCTCACTGTTGGCTTGTTACTGTGGTGGCCCTTAGCCAATTACCGAACATGTCAGGGACCTTTAGATAACTGACCTTTACTGTATAATCCACGCTACATTGCAATTGTCTTGAAAGCACATGCAGCGGTTTTGCCATTAATTTGCTACTTGTCTGTTAAATTCCCCTTGCAGAAGCAGAAAAAAAAAAAGATGCTGCTGGTGGTAAGGTTGAAGATTAAGATGAAGATGAGGAAGATAATGGGAGGGACTGTGTTTTCTGTAAATGTTAATTGTTTGTGTGAAGGTCAGCCAAGTTAATAAAATTGACCACGGCAACTTTTCCCTCTTTTTTCTCAGAGGAGAATAAGAGGAAGAGGTGCCCTTTTCCAGGTCTTCACAAAGCTTCCCTCCTCATTAGCTCCCCAAATGTATTCAGCGGAAGCAGGCTGGCGCAGGGTCACGTGACCAGATGGGAGCCCAGACAAGAAAAACAGAGAGTAGACACTGCTGCTGGGCCACGGCCCTGGCTGACCACTCTATAGACCTCAGCACCACGGCCAGTGTCTATTGCCCACTAATGATGACATCGCTATCCTTCCCTCAGGGAATGCAGCAATATAAAAAGTAAGCCATAATGCAGGCCTGGCATTCCTGTTTGGGAGGGAGCCATTATATCAAATGTTGCTTGCTTTCGCTGAAGCTCCAATTAGGGTCTGCGGCAAGCGATGGTGCCATGATAATGAAGGCTTTTGATCATATCAGCTGAAGCAGAAAGGATTGTTGATGATATAAGGAAGTAAAAAAAAAGAAACATATTTGTGTAATTGGATTTGTAAGGATGGATTTATGGAGTTAAATGATGACTGGGCACACGGGTTCCCTTTTTTATTCTCCTTTTGGTTGAGAGCAATGCATATATTTTGTATTCAGCACAAAGCTAATGTTGTTAATTATTCACTCATGACCTTTGCAAAGAAACTTTTCCTGATGCTGTTTCATACAGTATGCCCGATTACTTCTTCATAAGGGAAAGGCAAAAGAAAAATAACATAATTCTGATCCGAGGTCCCCTTGGCTGAGCCTGGTGAATGTAATTCAGCCCATTTCTATGATGTATGTTGTTCTGGGAAACAACTTTGTTTTCATTTGTCAGCATGCAGAAAACTATGATGACATATAAAAACTTGCATTCACACAGAACTACTAACATTCATTGGATTTGCCATTTCCAAAGTGGCTTTTGTAATTACATTATAATGGATTGGAAGTTTTGCGGTGAAATTACAACATTTCAAAATGCTACAGCTAAATGAAGACAGGGTAATGGAAAATCGAATCCACCTAGTGCTTGTCATTTCATTTGTCTGTCATCTTGTTAATTATTAGAGACCCCATAGAGCACAATCGACACAAAGGCAGCACCATATGTGAGGCAATGTGGGAGACTGGGTGAAGATGCTGGGCCAGACTCCTCACCACAGGCCACCAGACGCACACAGTGGTCTAGGAGAGATTACAGGAAGTATGCTAGCAGCAATACACATTCATTTACTGCCTTGGGCGAAGATGAAGGCACAACATATCAACACATAAGCCAAGATAAAGCTTTCTAACAACAACGCAAACGGCAAAATGTGGTTGTTCCAAACATGGATACTTTTTCAGTATTCTGCTCCGTTCAATAGGTTGTCCTTCAGAAATGCTGTCAGGGTCTGTGCGTGGCAGTTGCCTCAAAATTGAAACAACAGTCATGGCCTTCATTTTGACATGTATTCTTTATCTGCTGACTGTCACAACTCAAAAGATTTCCAGTGGTGTATATATGGTATGCACGTCTTTATCGGGCTCACAAAATCTAGCTTTTGTAAGTTCTGGGTGTGATCATTAAAATATGTATTATTAGTAACTGCCAATCAAGAACATGCTCAGTAGAAAGATCATAATCAATCTTTGTCAGGGACAGTGGTGGTCCAATAACATATACACACGCACAATTCATTTCCATCAGTGTGAAAAGACCCAAATACACGACATGTGCCTGCCTGTCAAAATGTGTCAACTTTCAACTTGAAGAATAACCATCAAGATTATTGTTCAGACAATTGTTTTTGGGCTGCTATCCTTTTCTGAAACAGATTAAAGATATCATTACACAAAAATACTCA